GGTCGATGTAAGCTAGGACCACCCCGCGCCTTATATGCGTAAAATTAGGGTACGTGACTATCGTGAATGCTAAAATTACAATCCTTTCATGAGTGTCGCATAAATAGACTTGGTACAAAATGAGGGGTGTGGCGCAAGAGGAACGATAGCAACCGCCAGCCGCTCTACAAACGCATGGAAATGCACTATTTTCCTTGAGAATTACGAATTTTAGACTTAACGGATATCAGTAAAGCTTGGATACATGCCTTTCTTGATAAGTACTCTCAAGTCCCGCGTTAAGTGAAGTTTGGTGTATCATGCAAGAAACAACGTAGAATTCCGCAGTTGTACCTTTTAAATGCCCTTGACAAAGTTTGATATATGTTTACATCTCCTTTTCAAGCAAACGAATTCTATCAACACTTTTATATAACTGGAAGCATAAAAGAAGGAGGTTCTTCAAATTTCTTGCGACAGACAAAAAATGAGGGCAAAAATACAGTTTATTGACAGCCACCAGCTATCGTTCCTCTTACTCGCCACCCAGATTGAGAGCACCCCAGCACAGAATCACAGTTCATGCATTTGTATAAATTCTGAGCCTTTGTCAAACTTACTACACGAAATTGCGAGATCGATGGCATGATGGAATGAGAAGTCTTTGAGTGAGACTCACCTTACTGCATCCATCATGATCCTGATGAACGTGCTGTAGTACTGACTAGGAATTGTTTTCTCGGTAAGAATGACCTGAGGTAAATTTGATGAATAAAAGTCGCCTTGCAAATACAATCTCTGACATCTTTTTGAACCTTATTGTACGCTCCTTCCATCAGTGACTGCTCGAGGCGTACAGGTGTTGAGATGTAGGGATTGCTCGTTTGGATGTTTTGGGGAACTGATTCCAGCAACTGTAAGAAAACTCAGACATAGTAAAATAAAAAGGCGGTCATGGTCAGCTGAAAAGGCCAAGCCAATTCTCAGCAGCAATCAGTTATGCTTCGCCTAAAGAAAAGCCATAACCCCCCAAAAAAGCAACAATCACATAAACTCCAAGATACTAACCATATGGAAGTCGGATAATCGGTTGCTCGCTAAAAGAAACATGAGATTGAGTCCGATCATGAGATATTTGTTTTCGGCAGCAGATGGGCATTGTTCGTAAAATGATAGCACCTAGAAATGAAAATGACATTGTGAGCAACCCAATCTCTAATAAAAAAAGGGAATTAAACGAAAAATTATGTCAAAACTTGCACTTACCCGTGGTAT